AATTTTTTTATTTGACTACATTTCTTCAAATACTTTACAAGACTGGCTCCAGGACTTGAATTAATCAATGTTTGTGTTCATTTTATTTAAAATTAAAATATTATCAAAGTTTTTTAATCGTTTTAGTTTGATTACGTTTATATATTTAAATCGTTTTTGGTCTTGTTTAACATTATTATAAAATCGTTAAGCCCTTGTAGGTATACAGAAAAACTATTTTCTACTTGGCCAAAGCGAAATTTTTCTATTAAAATTTAAATATAGGTATGCATACAATTATTATAATCTAAAGTTAAGGATTATTTATTTTTTAAGTTGCCGAAGACAGAATCAGAGTGGAAGCAAATTGCAAAAGATTTTAAGTCTTTTTGGGATTTTGATAACTGTCTAGGAGCAATAGACGGAAAACACGTATTAATCACAAAACCACCAAACAGTGGATCATATTATTTTAATTATAAAGGGACATTTAGTGTGGTGGTTTTCGCAGTGGTAAATGCAAATTATGAATTTATTTATGTGCATTATGGTACAAATGGACGCGTTTCTGATGGTGGTATTTTAAAAGAAACTGATTTATACCGGTCTCTGGAAAATAAAAATTTAAAAATACCTCCGCCTCAAGTTCTACCCCAAGTCGAGTATGAGCTACCATTTGTGTTTATTGGTGACGAAGCTTTTCCTCTCATGGAAAATTTGATGAAACATTATGGAAAGCATAACTCTGGTCATGATGAACACATATTCAACTATAGACTTTCTAGAGCGCGACGGGTTGTCGAAAACGCGTTCGGCATTTTGGCAACAAGATTTCGGGTTTTTTTACAACCATTAAATATTAGGGTCCATTTCTACAGCCCCCCCAATTTGGAATTTTTGAATTTTGATTGCACCAATCGTTTGTGCATCGTTTGTGCACAAATGTGCACAAGTCCGGTCGTTTGTGCACAAAAACTGTGGAGATTATCCCTAAATCAAATTCGGGGGGGCCGTAGAAACGGCAGCCCCTCCGATTTGGAATTTTCAAATTCTGATTGCGCCAATCGTTTGTGCATCGTTTGTGCATGAATGTGCACGAAGTCCGATCGTTTGTGCACAATTATTTCTGGAGATATCGCGAAAACAAATTCGGGGGTCCATTCCTGAGGCCCTCCGATCTGGAATTTTGAAATTCTGTTGGAGCAGTTCGTTTGTGCATAGTTAGTGCACAAGTCCAGTCGTTTGTGCACAATTATTCCCGGAGATATTGCAAAAATCGAAATCTGACGGTGGGGAGGTAAAACTATAAGTTATAACTTATCAGTTACCTATCACTAAATTGGGGTTAATTTTCACTCAGATTGGAATTTTGAATTTTTATTACACTAATAGGTTATGCACACATTTCTAGATTGGAATTTTGAAAGCACTGTATGAGCAAATCGTTTGTGTACCATTAGTTCTGAAGTAAAACCAATCTTGTTTGAATGATGAGCCTTTAATAGTTTAATCTGGTAGGTACCAGATGTTAGTGTATCATTTAATAATTGTAATGGAAATTACCTTGTTAGTTTTTAAGTTTTACTGATATTTACTTAACAAATTCAATATAAATCATAGAAAATTCATATTTTTGTACAGTACATGTATGACCGTTTATGTAGGTATATCCATTGTCCTTAAAAATATGTAAAATACTAACATACCTACAATACCGATCATGGCAGTTAATTCAGGGGGGGGGGTTATCCTCTAATGTCGGCAACTGTAAGTACTAGTCGGCAATTTTCAGAAATCGCAAAATGTAATGTATAATGAGATAAGTGATATTTCCATATACGTACAACTAATGTCTAATACACGCATAAAGCATTAAGTATTAATATATAGTTTACTAGTAACAAATATCCTTAATTATTTTTGGCAGTCAGATAATCAAAGATTAGGTACACAGGAGAGCCTATATTATATTGTGTTCGTGTAATAAAATTGTTTTCAGTTTTCACCAATATTGTAATGTCTAAAAATAGGAATGGAAAATACCGATGTCGCAATATTAGAAAACTTTACCAAAGCTTATTAATTTCACAATGTGTGTTTCTTATTAGTCATTATAGTGTCTGTCATCACCTTTTAGGACAGTAAAAATGCTTGGATTTTCTTCAACAGTCTCTTTTCTGATAGGAAAGTTAATCTAATTGGTACTTAGAGGGGTCAAAAGTTAAAAATTCCAAATAGTTTTCAAAAACGCTGTGAAAAACAAAAGAAAAATTAGCGGAAAACGGGAATTTTTACGCAAAATATGTTTTTGAAAAAATGGTTGTTTATATTAGCATTTTCTATACACGATAACATTTTCAAAAAATTATGATTTGTTTGAACTGTTGAATTGTTGAACGGACATATTCATGTTTCATTTTTTTTTATGTTAATACAATTTTATTTGTTGGGTAAAAACACCATCCATTACAGTGACCCACTTGTAACCTAATGTACAGCAGAGCGACACCCACTTGCCCACCTTTTTAAAATTGTATTTAGTTAATTAAATATTTAAGGTGGAAATTCTGAATTTTTTGAATTTTTTTCAATATTTATTAGAATTTAATTACAAAAATTATAAATGTGGCTCGATCGTTAATATAATATTACGGACAATCAAAATATTTTTTCAGAATAAAAATCGTGATAATTGTCGACACGTATTGTTGGAATTAGAAACAGTATTTTTTGACAAAAAAAAGACGTGATGGTGAGGCACAAAATCTTGACAAAATACGTAAAAATTCATGAAAATGAGAAAATTAATTTGAGTTAGAAATTCATAAAAATTTTTCTTTTTAAATCTAAGATTTTAAAATGTAATACAAAATTCCTCATAAGTTTGTCTACCTTTATCAAAACAAAAAAAATCTTACAACATTGGATATTCACTCGATTTTTTATCTAGCAATTTTCTTATTTTGTATTGTAAATCAAAAACAAATAACTGTAGATACATGAAAAAAAGTGAAAAATTAATACAAGGCTCCTGATATATTGTTAATAGAAGATGAAAAATATTAAAAATACATAGGCAGTAGGCACGTATTTTTTTTATAATTTTTTTTATTAATGTTCAAATGTTGATGAAATACCTATATCAAATTGAAAATTTACAAATTATTTAGTAGGTAGTTTATAAAATGTTCAACTTTTATAGCTAAGGGTTAAAAATTTAAAACAAAATGATTAATAGATTAAATATAAATTACTTTATTCACATTATTTCACAATAATATCATCAAATATACTTGGTAATATATCATAAGCTGACTGATTATCTTCGCTCAGAATCGTTTTTCTTATATACAATGGTATTAATATATTATACCATTGAATTAAAAAGGATAAATAGAAAACATATGCAAATTTATAACTATTTGATCCCTAATTATTACTATAGGAAAATGTAATTATTATTTAACATTTAATTTACAGTTGGTAGATTTATCTTTGAAAGTCGGAAATATTCACTCCAAACCCCCCTAAAAATAAACTATAAGATCGAAACTGGCACAATGGTGGATCCAGGGCTTAATTTTGAGGGACATGGGGGGGAGCAAATGTACAAAAATTGGTTAAACATAGTGTAAACAAAAGAAAAATGCCCCCATTGTCCCCCTCTGGATCCGCCACTGCCCTGGCAGTTATTATAGGTTCTTACAAGGCCGTAAGGGGGGGGGGGGGGGTCCGAGTAGAAACATTTTAGTGGTGAATATAGTTTATTAACTATATATTATTATAGTATTAAAGAATAATTGTAGGTATATTTTTGTTGAAGTAGTAATTTAAAATAAGATAAAATGTATCATTTTATTTTATTTCAACGTCGTAATTAAGACTAGGATTAATTGGTAAGGTTAGCCGGTTAGGTAGGTACTGGATACAATAGAAGGTGATTGTCACAGAAAATATAAACTTGATATATATTATGAAATTCGGTCGCAGAAAATCCAAATTGTTTAAGATTTAAAGATTAAGAATATAACAATATTGTGTGTATTATAAAACATTCATTTTACTACTGTTCGTGCTCACGCCAACTTTATAAAATGAGTAAAAGAAACCAAATTCAAAATTATATTTCAAACCGTCAAAAGGTATGTTTTCGTGGAGCGTGTACACACCTTATCGTTAGTGTCGTCATATAATTGCCAAATGTTCATTGGATTCCTGTAGGTATGAGCATGATAGTGTCCTATCAAAGTATGTGAAGTTATCTCTTGCTGGTTGTCTGGTGTTGTGACAGAGCCTCTCAAATAATATGATAGTTCTGATGTGTTTAAGTGTTTTGGGATATGATTCAGACGCAAACTCATATCGGTAAATGGACTATCAATAAGTGTTATTTAAATTTATCATATTAAAAAATATATGTTTTCCAAATTGAGGGTTGGCAATCATATCCCCGGAACAAGATTTACAATTGGTTGTATCATATAAATGATTTATTTCCGTAGTTAATAGGTTATCGAGAAGTCGGTTTGTAAGATACTTTTCTTGAACACATACAGTTATGCATTGGTTTTTTTCTTTGTGTTCGTACCCACAAGAGCTACAACGTCGAACTATTTCAACGCTTTTGTCGTCTCCTAGTAACTTAATTAATAAATTATCCACGGCTTGCTCGACAGATAAATAACCAACACCATTAAACATAGGCTCTACTGGATAAAATTGTTTTAAAATTTTTGCACGTTTTCGGTATGTTTGAACAGTTAAGCCATCTCTGAGTAAGGTAGAAACCAAGTGCCATAATTCATTTACGTTTTTTTTTTTCATCTACGTAACTTTTATATTCATCGCTATCACAGTAAGCAACAGCTAATATTTGAATCACAGAATCGAAAGCACACGTGTTTGATAAGACATAAGATCCATCATCTAATATTATGGATTTGAATTTCGATTTATTTCCATTTTGAATAAGTCCAATACTTTTTGTTTTGGCTTTTGAATTCATATTCCTCATCAAAATTTCACGATTTGGTGTTAAATAAATAGGTTTTTTTTTTCTTAGGATTCATTAAAATATTTCCCCAATTTTCTTCGCCGACATCTTCATTCTCTATCAAAGGAATTGCGTGTAAGTCATGAATAATAATAACAGTTGACTTATCCGATTTGTCTGTAGTTTTGTTAATATTATTTAATAATGGTCCATTTGAATTTAAAATATCATCAAGGTTACTTAAGTCGTCGTTTATTCTGAGTATGTCTGCGTCATTTTCTACGTTTGGTGTATCGTATAATGAAGCTTTATTATTTTTAGGTTCGTTATTAATGATTTTTGCGGGTTCTTGAATATACATATCGTCCTGGTTAGATGTTGTAATGCTTGTTGCTGTAAAATTGTCATCCTCGTAATATGTGTTAACTTGGGTTGTATTCTGTGAAGAATTGATATCTGGGTGTACTATTTCACTCTGTTTTGATGTTAGGAGTGTTTTTTGAGATTTTTCTTGTACTTTTTTATTGTGAGTTAATGGTGAATGGTTTTGGCATAGTTGTGTATTCATGCTTGCATTTGTTAGCTTCATTGTACCGTCAAGTGATTGGATATGTACTTTTACAAAATCGTCAATACGCATTGGCATGTTGTTCACATGTTTCAGGACCCTGTTTTTCAAATCATTGAATTGGCTTTCAATCGGTGCACTTGATGGAGGGATATCACCATATTTAAATGATGAAAACATAACACCAGACCACAAAGGAATATATGTACATAAATTAATTACCAGTGGTGCAACAGCTGGTAAAAAATACATATTATCATGATCTCCAACTTCCTGATCCACTTGATTTTGACATTGAATGGAGATTTTTTGTGTCATTTCGTGAAATGGATTATCTACGTCAGTAAGTGTAGTAAGATCTTCAAAATGTTGCTCGTTTACACTTTCTTCATTAATATCAATAAAATATTGTTCAGCTATTATTGTGGCAATTCTACGCCGAAGAAATTGTCGTCCATTTTCACTAGCTGTTGCAAACCCATTTTCTAAACGACCATCAGTCTTACTGTAAATCAGACAAAAGAAACTTTCTAAAAGTTGTTTCATATCATCTAAATCGTCCGATAGTACCATTTGTGCTATGGAGCGGATTAGAAAGTCTTTCACTCGTTTGTCAACTAACTGAAGAGGCTTCCAAGTTGTCACAAGTTTTATTACATGAGCAACATCACATCTAATCAAACATGTTGGCAAATCTACTTCAGTGTTCATTAATAATTTGAAACATGCACACATATAACTCTTCAAATTATTGTATTGTGTAAACGCCCTCACTACAGCCGTCATCAGTGCTAAAGACATATCAGTTACAACTTGTTTTGGACAAGGCGCTCCATCCCGAATCCACTCTATAAGCCAGTGGTATATTGAGTTATTGTCATGTCTCTCTGAAAGCATGTGACTTACCGAATACTGTTTCATTATATTTTTATCGTGCACTGCTATTTCATACAATAAAATACTCTTAGTCTTCCTATTTATTATAGAAGTTGGTTTTTTTACCAAACTGCCGGTAGCATCAATGCATACCGTTGTTATTTATTGTATTTGTATACTGTCTATAAACGTTCATTTCAAGAGCAGTCCAATAATGAACGAAAAAACGATCATATCCAATGTCTTTTATTATGTTTAAGTATGGATGCATGTGCTTCATTTTACAAAGAGCTAAAATGGGATCATGGTCCTCTCGCTGATCTGCTATAGCTCTGCATTTTGTTATTCTTAGTGCATTTGCTGTTGGTAAATGACTGGGTTCGCTATCACCAAACTGCATCAAAGTATTTGCTTCACATCTTTGTAACATAGCTGCTGACATGTTTTCGGTTACTAATTTATTAGTATAATATTGTTTTTTTCCAGGATTAGTACGACGTTTTTGTTTTTCGTCACAATTTTGAAAGTTTCCTTTATACGTACAAAGGAAAATTGCTCTATTATTTACTGAAGGTTTTACATCTAATTCCCCTTTTAACTCACTATTGCATGACTTACATTTACCGTAAAATACACAGTATTGAAGACTAGATTCGTACATTTTAGCCCTTTTATAAATAATAGTGCAAGCAATTCCCAAAAATGGCTGTGAATTATTTCTGTCCATACTCCAGGATTCAACATTTTATAGTTACGGTTTAGGTATCTTGAATTATTTAACTGACTCTTTTTTTCACAATATATTTTTGCCCATTCTTCTTTACTAAAAGTTATTTTAAAGTTAATTGTGTTGATATCATTGTCAAAGCTGGTTTCAATTTCAAAATCACTTGAATCATTATCCATTAATGTCATTTTTGAATCGTTCAACATCATATTATTAACATCATCGCCTGGTTTTATATAAATTTTGTTCAACACATCATTTCTGTTGCACTTCACTATGGTATATAAAGATTTTTCCGATATTTCTCCATTTAAACGTTGTCTTATATCTGCCCATATTGGATGCGTTGGACCAACTATCATTTTATGCCCCTCAAAAATTGTATTTTTACATACGTTGATGGCCTCCACTATGTTATCAAATGGTATACTCATTTTCCTCGGCATAATTGAAATTCTACGAGAACATTATTTATATTATATTAATTATTATTTTAGAATTATATTATTTATTGTAATTAAGTTTTAAATTAGTTACCTATTCAGTTTATATAATTTAATTGTATTGATTTTTTACAATAAATAAATATTTTCAAAACATAGTACCTATTTTTTAATTTTTTTTTATTTACTTTTTTTATTATTAAATTTACCCTCGGCGACATAGACCATTGGGATAAAGTTGTTATTTACATAAAACTTAGTATTTAAATAATAATATAATATAGATATTATATATAATTTTATTGGACTGTTATTCTTATAAGTTATAACAATACTTAATAAAACGTAACTTTTACAATGACCTATTTTTTTTTATTAAGTAAATACTTAATAGGCGTAATTAAATTAATTATTTTTTTAGATTCTGAGCGTAGCGATAAATGCATTGTAATTACGATGATGTGTGTTTTTTTGTTCTATCATCAACATTTGGGGTATGTCCCAATTTTTGACATTAGCATAATTTCTGATAGAAAAGTGAATCTAGTTGGTAGATTTGGGAGTCATAATTAATAACTTCTGGTAGTTTTTGAAAACGTAGGGAAAAACAAAAAAAAGTAAAAAAATAGTAATTAGCAAAATCAATCTTTGAAAAATTTGATTTTATATTTTTTGTTGTAACTCATAAATTATTAACTAATAACCGTAGACACTTGACAATTTTCACAAAATATTCATATTAGAATTTTCCATAGTATATGGTAAATATTTAGACTATACAAGTATTCTATGATGATACAACGTCTCTGCTCAGAAATCGTTTTTCGTATGCAATGATGTATCATTAAATATAACACATCTATTACAATGAAATGTTCGACAGTAATTATTCCTGTACAGCAGACTGCAGAGCGGTACCCACGTCTTCTCCACCTTTTATTTTATTTATATATGTCATATTATGCGTTCATTATTATAATAATGAATACATAATAATAATATTTATGTAAAATATTTAATATTCATATAACTATTTGTGTTTTCACTTATATCATGTGTAGGTACCTACTGAAACACACTTATTTTTTTTTTGTCTGAAATTAATTAGAATTGGTAACTTTACCTACGTTTCAATTTCTCACTTTAGGGGTGGTTTCTGCTAGAACATATTTGATCTAGTTGGTACATTTGAAAGGCCTTCTTTAGGACAATAGGGATTTTAAAAATCGGTCAGCCGCTTTAAGGTATAAAATTTAAATCATATTGTCATATTGCCATTGTAGTAGATATCACACATAACTTAAGTATAACATGGTCATGGGCAAAACTATTAAAATTAAAATTTCATGTCAGGTTCAGGGCTTGGAACCTTTATGATTTTTTCGGTTTCAGTTCCAATTCGGTTCTTCAAAAAAATAAAAATTCAGTTCCGGTTCTTAAAATTACAGAATTAAGGTTTCGGTTCTGATTTCAAAAAGTAAAAAAACCAAGTATAAACTTCATACATATATTATAGGTAGGTATCTAAAATGATAAAATCAAATTATAGTAGCCTTATTGGGTTAAAGGCCTTAGTAAGTTCACTATAATTTTGTTTTAAAAACATCCAAATTAAATTTTAAAAATAGGGTTGGCTCATGTTGTAAGAAGTGGAAGTGAGTGCATCGTATAATGTGATACAATCAAACACTCAAATACTCAATGATCTCTATAAAAAGTGGTTTTATTTGAATAATAGCCTAGAATTTTGTATGATGTGCATGTAGCCAAGTGACCAACTTTGTAGTTATTTATATGACCAATTAGCTTACTCAACACTTGAGTATGGAACCCTGCAAAGTGCTTTTTATAGATACCTACCTACTTTAAATTCTTTCAGATAAATGTTAAGTGTAATTTTTAATTTATTTTATGGGGACTAAGTCCTATCAAGCTCCCATTGATACCTATGCTAAGAACAAGAATCGTCACTAATTAATTAGTTTCTTATTAAAATGTATTTTAGAGGAAGAAATATAGAAATGGCTTTTTAGCAGGTTTGGCACGTATTATATTAAGTATTATACATATAATACATCTATATTTTATACATCACCGATGTATACTAATATAAAATCTAACTATTATAATTACGAAATACCAATACTAATATTTTGTCATTTGAATGCATTATTATTTTTTATTCGTATTATAATTTATAAGCATTACTTCAAAACAAGATTTCAAAAAGAAAGATGTAAATTGTATTTTGTTAAACAATTCACTATGTTAACTATATTAAACTATTAACTATTAGGTAACTTTTAAGTACCTATTATATATAAAATATAAATGTAATTGTTATTGTTATGCGAGTTGTGTTTTTTTTTTCTTAATTGAATGATTTAATTATTTAAATGATTTAATTTCATTTATATTGTAAATATCACTTCCAATTGAATATTTTAAATTTTAAATGAATACAAATTGAAAGCAAGATCCAAAGATAATATTACAAATTTAACTATTATTTTATGTATAGCATATTAGCATGTACTAATAATCAATCAGGCCCGGTGTAACAGGCAAATCTTACCCCCGGATAATTTTACCGGGGGGGGGGGGGGTGTAAGATTTTCCTAGGATCATTTTACCCCCGGTAAGATCTTCCTAGGTTATTTTTACCCCCGGTTAGGTTAGGAAATGAACGCATTCATATTTTCAAAGAACGTGAACGTGTTCATTTGAAAAAATATGAATTTGAACGTGAACGAGTTCCTTTTTTAAGGACTGAACGTGAACGTGAACGAATTCATTTTTTAGTGAACGTTCCAAACACTGATACATGTATTAATGTACTATTAATGTAGTATTGTAGTAGGTGGTAGTTGGAAAAAAAATCCCCGGAAAAAAAATCCCCACACTAGGAAAAAAAATCCCCAGTAGCATTATACCGGTAGTATTAAATTATTTTATAAATTTTATTATATGAACAATAAAATAAATATTGTATATTATGTTAAAAATTGTTATTTTATAATAAATTAAATATTACTAAATATATAAATGTATTATATTATACGATTTATACGCATATAAAATGTATACCATGATGGATAAACTTTCGGCGTTTTGAACAGTATACTCGAAATCGCGATCAAGATGTAATTCCAATTTCCAACTGACCAATTAGTTGTTATTTGTTTCAGTTCCGGTTTAAGATTAGATAGTAGACAACACGCATCCTATAATCGTCGTTAAGAGTGTTTTTCCAATGTAGGTACTCGTACTTTATAGGTATCCAGGTAGGTACACAATTAGAGATAATGAACTTTTTTCGATTGCAATAAATTGATGTTATAGCGATCATATTATATGGTATAGGTACCTATACGGCTATACTGCAAAGAAACTGCGCTCAGTTATTTGTTGGCACTGAATTAGTTTACTACATAGTGTATCCTTAAAAATGGAATTACTAAAAACACAACGAGGGTATAAAATTGCATATAAAGGCCATATGTATACATTACAAAAAATATGTTTGAATTTTATTCGTTGGCGTTGTTCAAAATTTAGTTCACTTAAGTGTCCGTGTATTTTAAAAACGTGCTTAAATATAGATAAACCAACGTTTTTAACTTTAAATAATGACCACGTGCATGAGGGAAATGACAATTTAATTGGTGCAGCTAAAGTGAAACGATTAATGATCGAAAAGGCGAAATCATCACATGCAACACCTAGTCAAATATATTCGGAAATAGTTGCCAATTGTACTACCAATGTACTCGCAGAATTACCTCGGGAGGACTATTTAAAACGGTCGATTCGAGGTAATCGAGGGCATAATGACCAAGCTAAGCCAAAAACAATTAACGATATTACTATAGAAG